GGAAATTATAGCACAATGGTAAGTATTAACATTTGGGGATCTGAGCATGAGAAGGTACAGTAAAAATATAATATTATATTCTTTTGTGAACACAGGGATATATGTAATCCTTCACTGACCAAAATGTAGTTATGAGGCACATGACTGTATATAGTCACAGATTTGAGCAATATCACCACAATCTAATATTAGAACATTTCCATCACTACAAAAATAAGCCTTATACTCATTAGAGGTTACTCCCCATTCCTCTCTCTACTAGCCCCTAGCAACCACTAATCTATTTTATGTCTATAGAGATTTGCCTGTTCTGAGCATGTCACAAAAATTGAATCATAGAATATGTAGTGTTATGTGTCTAGTTTCTTTCACTTACTATAATGGTTTCAATGTTCATTCATGTTGTAGTACGTATTAGTATTTTATTATTTCTATGTCCTAGTAATATCCACTGCATGAATATATAACATCTATTAGTTACCGATTCATGTATGTTAAAATTCCATTAGAAGAGAATACACATTTACTGTCATATCCTCATGAAAGAGTAATGTCTCTATCATTACAAAATGTCCCTCATTATCCCTGGTAATTGTTCTAGTTCTTCAATCTACTTTGTCTAATATTAATATAGCAACTCTAGGTTTTTTGAAAAAATAAGAGTTTGCATGTTAAACTTTTTCTCATAATTTGACTTTAAACTTAATTTCATCTTTTATTTAAAGTCGATTTCTTATAGACAACTCATGGAGGGTCTTGGTTTTAAGGTGACCAACTGCCTTTTAATTGGAACATTTAGATTAGTTACCTCTAATATTATTATTTCTCAATATAATTATGGTTGAGTTAAATCTACTATACAGGTTTTTTTGGTCCTGTTCTTGATTTCTTTTCTCTTCTTTTGCATTTGTTTGGATTTTTTATAATCCTTTTTCAAGTCTACTATTAGTCCATTAGTGATACATCTTTATTGATCTGTATCATGGTTTCCTTAGTTTATAAAATACGTTTTAGAATATTACACTATAAGTTCAAATAATATACTGCTTCATATCTTTTATAAGAAACTTGCAAGTGTATACTTTTAGTTCCCCCTCAATATTATGACACACCTCACAATTCACTACTGTTAGTTTTATCTTAAACATTCAAATATCTTTTAAAATACCTTTAAAATTTTGCGAAAAAAAATTTATTTTGCCCACAGATCTTCATTGCTTTGGGTTAATCCAATTTTTCTTTTGGTTTGATTTTCCTTCTTTTTCTAAATTAACACAAATTTTATTATAGGTCTGTGGTTAGTGAATTCTCTTGGGTTTGTTTGTCTGAAAAATTCTTTATTTCACCTTAATTTGTGAATGATAAATTTTACTGCATAGTAAATTCCAGATTGACAGCTGATAAGTGTTTCTTTTGTTTTGTTTTTGTTTTATTATTCCATGCATGTTGCTGAATTACATTATTACTATAATAGATTCTGATAAAAATTATCCATTATAAGGACTATGTCTCTTTTTTAACTTGTTGTTTTTAAGACTTTTTATGTCTATTAAAAGTCATCATTCATTTGATTATGATATGTCTTGTTGTGACTTCATTTTTCTTCTGTTTGGGCTTTGTTGAACTTTGTGGATCTCTGAATTCAAATTTTCTATTATAGTTTGAAAGTATTTAGAATTACTTTTGAAACAATTTCCCTTTCTGACTCATTTTTTCCCCTGGGGCCCCAATTATATGTTTGTTTGACCGCTTGATATTGTCCCACAGGTGACAAATGCTGTTCTTTATTTGACCAGTTCTTTTCTCTCTGTGTTTTGTTTTGAATATTTTCTATTGCTATGTCCTCAGTTTCACTGAATTTTTGTTTTAGTGTCTAGTTACTCTTACTCTCATCCAATGTATTTTTTTTCTTGGATTCTATATTTATGGTACCTACATGTTTGATTTGAATCTTTTTATATCTTCCATTTTTTTCATTATCACATTTATGTTTTCCTCTACTTTTTTGTACATATGTAGTATACTTACAATAATTTTCTAATGTCCTTGTCTACTAGTTCAAAAACGTCTGTGTCCTTTCTGGTCTGTTTCTGTTGTTGATTTTTCTCCTGGTTATGGATCAGGCTTTGCTACTTTATTGCATGCCTGATGATGTTTAGTTCGTTGCTGGACTTTGTTCATTATATGTCATGTGATGCTTCATTTTGTTATATTATTTTAAATATTGTTGATCTTTTCTCTAGGACAAAATTAGCATACCAGTAAAATCCTTTTTAGACTTCTTTTTGAGTTTGACAGAGAAGCTTTACTTATCATTTCACCCCCTCCATTAATACAATATATTTATGAAGACCCTATGTATACATAGGACATAGGTTATTCACTTTAGGTGGCGAGAATAGCAACTAATTCCAGATATGTGTGAGCTTTGCTAATTGTTCTGACAATATTTTCCTTAGTTTCTTCCCCTAGTCTTGGGTGGTTTCCTCACATGCTTGTGCAAATCAATACTCAGACAGACTTTCACTGACCCTATGAAGATACCTAGACCTCTCTTTCTGTGCAGCTCCCTCTGTTGAGAACGTTGTTTCCTCAGTTAAGTTCATTGAGTTCTGTTTGGTTTCTTACTCCATGCACTGTGCTCTAGAAGAGCTTTTTAGCCAGTAATATGTGTAAATCATAGGCTATATCTTGGTTTTGCTCTTCTTTCAGGAAATATTCTCATGTACTCCTTGTTATTCAATGTCTAAGCACCTCGATTTCTCTATTTTGTCCAATTATACAATTGTTAAATGTGAGGCATTAAACCCTGACTCCATCACTTTATCATGAACAGATAGATGTAGAACCACAAAATATTACTTCCAAATTATTTAAGTTTGGAAAAAAGCTGATTCTCTGTGTACAGATTTATCTGAATACTAAATATAGACTTTCTGTAATCAAATTAAACCTATCCGCAGATAGAGGCAATTTAACCATCACATTTTAAATAAAAGCAACTGTGCATTTTGTCCAGAAAAGAAACAATGCAATTTGGTGTAACTTGAAATCTCATTATCTATATTACCTGTATCTATATCTATCTATTTATCTATATACACATATGCATATTTCCACAAGGTGCAAAGACCAATCAAGTTAGACGTAATGAATACCACAAATTCATTAATTTGCATAATTGCAAAAGTAGATATGTCAGCCAAAACAATACAACAATTTTAAGGTCTACTGATATAAAAGTATCTCATATACCCTCTTAGCCTTCAGTAAAGCTATATGCAACAAAGCTCATTTTTGACCCATGTGCTAAATTACTTACTAAATTTAGTAAATAAATCATCTTATAAAACAGCCTTACCCATGCAATCTATGAAATCCTCACCTAGAATACCTAATTTTTCATTTTAACAAGCATACATTTATAGGTATATATATGTATTTTTTTCATAAAATATAATAATTTTGTTAGGTTCCTAGCTATCTTATGTGTCAGTTATTGATGAATGTATGATATTAACAACACACATACAGACAGATTATTTTCTGCAGGAATATTCATTTTTAGGAAAAGGACGGCCAATAACTTATTCCTTACAGGGAAGAATTTATTCTTCTACTAAGATTTACATATTATCAACAAGATTAGCCAAATCTTATACATTTGGATAAAAATTTACATGTAGAATATGTTGTCCCGAAGTATCTGAGGTAAAATGACTAGTTGGATTATAACTAACATATAAAGTATGGCATAAGAAGGGTATCTTAAATTTTCTGAAGTAAAATTCAATTTTCTGACTATATACACTTATGTTAATATATTAGGAACAGTCATTTGTATTAGTTCCTGTTGCCTGGATAAGCATGATTCACCGACTATTCTATACCTTATTCTCATGCCCCCTCCCCGACAAAACACTAGGACACCCTTAATCTAAATTAGTTAAATACTCTATGTTAATGTAAATGTTATTAATTTACTGATTTCCAAAATGTAGAACATTTATATTGTAGGATATATGATACTTAAATATTCGCTGTATACAATATTTTGTCCTAATCACTGTATATCTATTTTCCTACTTCTCACAAAATTGAATGTTGGAAATTGTTATACAGATTTTAGAAATAAAGCTATGAGCAAAATACCTGAATTATCTTCGTTATTTTCTCCTAAAAATGGCAGTGTTAACACCAGGTTTCTTTCTTGCACTTGTCCCTATTTTATGCTGCTCAGCAATATTGTTGTTTTAATAAATGGCCTCAAAATTTCTGCCTCTTCTGAGATACTAAAGCTACATTATGATAATACAAGCTGAAATTTTCCTGACTTGTAACTGTAAAGTCAGATGTTTCTTCAGTTAAATGTGACCCAGTTAGTAGAATGATACCCAGGATCCCCCTACAAGGCTACATTAAAACAGCCATTAAAATGCTGCATTAGGCCTGGCGTAATGGTTCATGCCTATAATCCTAGCATTTTGAGAGGCCAAGAGGAGCAGATCACTTGAAGCCAGGAGTTTGAGACCAGCCTATGCAACAAGGCAGAAGCCTATCTCTAAATTTTTTTTTTTTAATTAGCCAGGCACAGTGGTCTGTACCTATAGTCTCAGCTAATCAGGAGGCTGAGGTGGGAGGATCACTTGGTCAGCGAGGGGTGTGAGGCTGTAGTGAGCTATAGCATGCCACTGCACTACAGCTTGGGCGACAGAACCAGAATCCATCTATAGAAAAAGATTAAATAGTCTGAGCACGGTGGCTGCCTGTAATCCCAGCACTTTGGGAGGCCGAGGCAGGTGGATCACAAGGTCAGGAGATCGAGACCATTCTGGCTAACACAGTGAAAACCCATCTCTACTGAAAATACAAAAAAAATAGCCTGGCTTGGTGTTGGGTGCCTGTTGTCCCAGCGACTCCGAAGGATGAGGCAGGAGAATGGCGTGAACCCGGGAGGCGGAGATTGCAGTGAGCCGAGATCGTGCCATTGCACTCCAGCCTGGGTGACACCGTCCCAAAGAAAAAAAAAGATTAAATAAATAAGAAAAATAAAAATGTGCACTGTGGTCATCAGATTATTAAACTAGTTTTGCTGAATTGGGAAAACTTTACATTAATTTCATTGACTTATATTCCGCAGCATCTCAAAAATGTGAACCAAATCACAATATTTAATTTGATATTAAAAAGTTTCTATTCTATACCAATACATGAATGCCACTTAAATATCCCATAGTGATGGTTGCAATAATATATGCTGCTTGAATGATTTCTAATGTAGGTTTCTTAAGCAGAGTTTCATTAATTCTGTGAGCTTCTATGGAAAATGCTGTGTGTGTAAAATTTATTGAATTGTTATTATATGGTAGGCATTCAAAATATTTTTACATATGTAAATACTAAATGACTTAATTTTAAAGTAATATTGATAATTAGGTAATTTTAAGAACATACAATCTATCCTGCAACCTTGCCTATAAGTAGATTGTATTGAGTGTTAAGCTGTATACATGATAGGATTTCAACAGTTGAATTGTGTGCTTGGTTCAATATTTGTACTTCCAAAAGGTCCAAAAATACTAAAAACTTGTGAAAGTGGGTCTCCACACAAAATATAAAGTTAGCTTTTATAGAGAGTGGAGTGGGGGAGGATAATTTTCCAGCCAACAAGCAGCCATGATTACCATCCACTGCTTTTATTCTATTGGCTGAATATAGATTAATGTACTTTCTCCACTGTTCCAATGCATAATGTATGAACACGATTACTGGGGTAATTTAGAAACAGGATGCCTTTAATCTTCTGCTCAATCAATTACAATACATAGGTTATAAAATGTTCTGTGATTTTACACTGAATCCTTAATAGAACTAATTTTGGAGTTAAATGAGATTAGGAAAAGTGTAAAGCCCACAGAGCTCACACATATGTAACAAAGACAATGGGATTTTAGCCATCACGTATTTAGTTAACCAACCCAAACAAACAGAGACCACTCTAAAAGTTGCAGAGAAAGAGAGAATACTTCAGGGAGCAGAAAGCCACTTTTTCTCTTGAAGAAGGAAAGTGGAATTCAAGGGTTTCCAGAATCAATATCCTATGAAAGTTAGTTTCAGACTTATAATTAGAGACATTATGCACAGTTACCTTCTGCATGTCAATATATCTTGTCATGTGACAGATAAACTTTGTGTTTCCAGCTGTATTTGGAAATACCTATTATTTTAAAACAGTATTCATTCACTAAATTTATGTGTAATTTTTAAAAAGTTTAGCTATATTACCTTTATATAACTTATTGTTATATTATTGTGCCGTGAAATCTTAATTAAAATACAACTTTATAGGTGAAACTTTAATTACAATCTACGCAATATGCAGTTTCTTCATTTTTTTCTGGAGTCCTTGATGCATTTTGGGAGGAAGGTGAACTTGGGTTTAGTTAAGACGCTAAGTAGAGAAGAAATGTGTTTTAGAACACTCTATTTCTTTGGGCATTTGGTGAAGAGAGTGGTGCATGTGGATACATTAGGGCCACTTGCCTGAGTTTGTAGTTCTATTGTCTGCGGCTGGTTGTAGGCAGAGAACAGTTGCCAACGGCTGATTCGGATTCAGAACCATGGATAGCTCCACACGTTCAGCACCTGGGAGAGAAACTCTAGTCGTCTCCCAAGCACGGCTGCAGCTAGCGAACAGTATGACGGAATGATGGACTTATATATATATTTTAAGGAGAAAATAAAACCACACACTAGTGATATATGGCTTTTTATATTCCCGCAGAGGCAACCATAAAGACTTAGGAAAGCTCAAGCTACTAGAAGAGCCTAGAGGTTGTCATAGGTTGCTTATTTTTAAAGTAAACCTTATTAGCCATAAAATTCAACATTCCTAGGAACGTCTTTCGTTTGATTCATTTTAATTACTCTGATATTAAAGAGGAGGAATTACTTCGGTTCTTGTTTTTGTTTAGACTTTGGGGTTTGTTGTTTTGGAACATAAAAGTTGTTATGCTTACTTCCTGGTTATTGCAACCCACCTGATTCACCTTCCTAAACTAACCCTGCTTCACGGCCCTTCTCAGTTCCACTCTCATTATTTCACTTCAGATTTGAAGCTGTAACTGAGAAAATAAGAACCCAATTGACTCAAGGCATAGCAGGCTAATGAGCTACAAGCACCCCCCAAATTCTATCATGCAACTGCATGTGTTGACAGGAATCTCTGGACCCTTATCTCCAGCAGGAAATGAGATATTCGTCTGTGTTCTGCTTGAGTAGATTGAAGTCGTAGCAAATTCCATTTAGAGAAAGGGGCGTGGAGATGGGCTATCAGGTTAAAGTGGGTGGGGGAGAGATAACAAAAATAAAGGGAAAACAATAAAGAAAAACTAGAAAAGCAACTTCAGAAACACGCTTTCCTGGCACAGCTTGTCACATTTGTTTTCCTAAGTCTCCAGGAGGACTATTTGAACAGAAGTGTCTGTATACCCTGAGATTCCCACGCTGGCAGCCTTTGAGAAGCGAGAAGGAAGAGGACTCTATTCTGCCCCTTGAACCCTTTTCTATCCTATATGAGATGGCTCCTTAGAGATGGTGGAGGAGAGCAGAATGTAGCTAGTGTGTTCCGGAGATGAGTGGCATCGGAGGTCACAGCCAAGGCTGGTAACTCTTAGCCCCACCCACCTTTTGTTCCTTCCCCTTGGCGCTCAGTCTCACCTATTTCAAACTCTTTCCTTGTTTTGTACTAGTCGCTGGCAATCTTTGGCCTTCTCGTCTTTGGCCGTCTCATCTTTCTCGCAGCCTACGGCACCTGGAGACCAAATCAACCCCCAATCTTGCAACCCTCCAGGGACTCAGGCAGAAACTGGGCATGCTCAGCGGCACGGGCAGCTTTCAGTCTTTCCGAGGCGCGGCTCAGCGCTGGGCAGGGACCCGCGTGCCAATTCAGTTCGGGCTTTGGCACACACCTCTGCTGAACCCAGGGATCCGAGCTGCACCCTGAGGCTAATTCTGCACCCTTAGGTGGTTCATTCTCAATCTTCAACCTGCTGAGCGCCAACAGAGCCTACAAATATTCCTCATTAAGAAACTGTTTTCCCACCTGTGTTTTCCTTGCAGCTAAGGGTGCTTTAGCTACTGCGGCGTGAGGAGCTCAGGGACGGAGCTCTGTGGCTGGTGGCCGTAGAGATCACCTTCCCAGGGTAGCTGTTTGTCACGGAGTTTTAGAGATTTCTTGGCTGGCTTCCGCTAAAGCACGCTTGAGTAATCCGAGCTGTGGCGGCGCCCAAGCTACCAGGATAAAGGGAGCGTGTGTGTGTGTGTGTGTGTGTGTGTGTGTGTGTGTGTGTGTGTGTTAGGGGGAGAGGGCGGGGATAGAAACGTCAACCCCCCCGACCCCCAGCCTCCTTTTCTCTCTCTCCTTCCTGCAAAAGCAGCACAAGTCTTCCAACCCCCCTCAGCCATTCCTCACTGCTCTGGGCAACCGCCAGGTTAAGCCCATTTGCACTGGGAAATTGGCGCTGTTTGGGAGAAGAGAAACAGATCGATTGCCCTTGTGACTCCCCGCCCCCTTCCCACCCCACCCCCACCGCTCCCTCCCTCCTTCCCTCCCCCGCCACCTCCCCTCACCCCGCCTCCTTCCCGTTCCCCACCCCCAAACCCTCTCACCCGCGGCAGTCCGGTGCGAGGCCCCTCCGGAAGGTGAGGGGAATGGATTGGACTCCGGTGGGGAAAGCGGGTGTCTAGAAGTGGTGCTAATGGGAAGAGAATTCTGGTTTCAAAAGAGGATGCTCTGCCACAAAGAGCGGCTCGCGCGCTGGCCTGGGCTCTAGCCGAGGAGAGATCCCGGGAGAACTCCAGAGCTCCGGGGGAGCGCTCCTCGGAAGACTGGGGCCAACATGCCTGTGCGCAGGGGGCATGTGGCACCACAAAATACATTTCTGGGGACCATCATTCGGAAATTTGAAGGGCAAAGTAAGTTCATTTGTTCTCTTCTCTCGCCCTCGCTTTCTGCCTTGATAGTGCACTTGGCGTCCACCGCTTCCAAGCTGGGGAGACCGGCAACTCCAGGCTCTGTCAAGTTAAGAGGCTATGAAACCGAGCCAGGAGGTTCGAGCGGCAGCGGGAGTGTTATTCTTCTGATATTAATTTTGATTTACATTTTAGATTACGGTCTCCATTATAGGAGGCAATTTGATCCTCCTCTACCACTGCTCCATTATCTGCCTTGCTACTTAATGTCCTACTATTCTACTATCTTAAAGGGAACGTGCTAGGATAACATGGGTTTATATTTTGAGGTTGTTTTACTGTAGACTTTTTGAAAGTCGGAAGCAGAGCAGACCACACTATTGGAACAAGAGAATGTAAATGGTAGTAGCGATGTAAATGGCTATGCAAACTATATTTTACCTTGGTTAAACTGCAAGGCAGTGGTATGACACGGATGCTTGCTTGCTATTAGTTTATAGAAGCTAAATGTTATATTGAATCAATGCAAATATATCCTAAGCAGGATAATTTGGAAAAGCAGTATCTAATCTCTGCTGGTTTCCGATGCAAATGGCTCATTATTCAAAATAATATTTCTATTCTTTTATTATCTCCTTAACATTTCCATCTAGAAATTTAAAAATTGAAGTGTAATAAGTAAATCCCACAAAGACTGAATGAACAGAAATTTAATGTTCTCATGTGGACTAAATATAGGGAATACATTTTTGCTATATAAGTATATTAATTTAAAATCCTATATTTGTTAACTTATCTTCAACCTTTTCTTAAAACTATATTAATACATTTGTATGCCATATATTTTGCGGTTATTTCAACACTGCATTTAGTGACGTGAGGATCTGGTACCTTGCGTACAAAATAAACTTGTATATCCTGCTTCACAACGTATTTGGAAATAGTAAATACAATCTGTGATATAAATTAATAAGCTCTTTGTATTAAAAAAATTCCTGCTACTACACAAAACATCAAGGATCTCCCAAAGTAAAAGTAAAAAGTGTCATCATGATATTCACTGAGTGTGTGTAAATATTTTTCTTTTGGAAAATATATATTATGAAAAGTTGAACCTTTGCCTTGTTGAATTGCTATTAAATATGAAGTAGTTTCATTACTAAAGCTAGTTGCCTTTGTTTTTAACATGATGTATGTAACATGCCTAAGAGAGATAGAGAGAAACCAAAGAATAATAACTACTTTGAGAAAGTTGTATTCAAAGGGCCAAAGTTGAAATGACAAATCTTACAACTACAGAATGTTTCACTGTTTGACTTTGAAAATATTTACATTACAATTAAATGACATTCTGAAAATATCAATGGGCAGCTGCTTGTCTGAGGGCCCACTAGGATCCTCAGCAGTTGCAGGGCTTGAGAGCTAGACTATTTGGGAAATTCTATTCTTGCAATTTGAAGAGTGGTTTCTTAATACTTTCTGTTAAAATTACTTAGGATCATTAATCCCACATTTAAAGTTTGTGGGGTTTCTTGTGTTTTCTTTTTTCATAAAGTATAGAGAAATTAATAATTTGGGGAAGCACCTGCATTTCAGAGCTCTTATTATGCAACAAATTGCTTCAGTGTTACGGAGAATATTGTGGAAGCTTTTTCAATGATGCCATACTATCTTCTTATTACAGATAAAAAATTTATCATTGCAAATGCCAGAGTGCAGAACTGTGCCATCATTTATTGCAACGATGGGTTCTGTGAGATGACTGGCTTCTCCAGGCCAGATGTCATGCAAAAGCCATGCACCTGCGACTTTCTCCATGGACCCGAGACCAAGAGGCATGATATTGCCCAAATTGCCCAGGCATTGCTGGGATCAGAAGAGAGGAAAGTGGAGGTCACCTACTATCACAAAAATGGTAAAATTTATCTATTTAGTATTCCTTCTATTTTATCCCATTGAAAAGAAATTTTGACTGTTAAAAGTTCATATACAAAGAAGCCCAAAATGTTCAGTTGTAGATATATGCTTTCCTTATAGTATTTTGAGATCCAACATGTATGGGTATTCTGATTAGTGATCTGGGAGAAACAATTTTTTCTTTGAATAAGGGTACTGTGATCTCTTCAAAAGTACAGTAATATAATGTCACTCAGGTTAAAAATGCTACAAATCAGTCTTAGATGCTTCTTTCTTTAGGAATTATAGAAAGATCAACAATTTACTGCTGCGTTGGTATGCATTTGGTAGGTGAGAAACACAGATACAGCGTTATTTGTTTGAACTTTAAAATACTCTACAAAGCAAGTTTATGTTGAAAACTATATCAAAAACTAAAACTATTACAGTTATGTCTCTTGGCTCTTTAGCTTTAGTTGATAGGCAACACCTCTTGTTTCTTTTCCTCCTTCTTATACAAGATTAAGGATGATAAAAAGGTACTTATACATTGATCCAGTTAACCTGTGTATATTCAAACAATAAAGGCTGTTTATGTAGTCAAGATTTGTCCTAAACTAAGAAATGTAGAAAAAAATTATGATACTGTGGAGTTATTAGTATTGATTTTTATAACTACAGCAAAACTGAGATCTTAAACTTAAGGTCATACCTCAACTTCAAGGGCAACACCTCCTTCTGTCAAACTTGCTATGAGAACAATAAGAGTTAGATATAATAGTTCTTTTAAAAAACTACACATGTAATAGATAGGCATGCCTTAAATACACAATATATATTTAAATGAACTCACATATATGAATACCCAGATATGCCCATTTTAAGGTGTATATATATATATACACACACACACATACATGTATATATTCCTGAATATCTATATATCTATATCTATAATGATATTTGACAATTTGGGGCTTAAAGGTAAAATTAGTTTTAAAACTTGAATGTTATAGTTAATTTTGTGGATATTTCATCATCATCTATTTCTTTTTATTCCACTAACAGAAATTACTGAGGCAGAGAGGTAGCTGTTCAGATTTTTAGAAAACTCTTCAGATTTTCATAAATATGTAATGTGCCATGGCCTATATCATATAATGACTCATCATTTGGTAAACTAGACAGAAAAAAAGACAGCAGGGAAAAGGTTTCACTCTAACTCTTATTTTCTTATAATTCAATGTACAATGTACAATTCTTAATTATTACATTTTCCTTAACATGAACTTCAGTGGTTACAAAACATTACTAAAAACAAGTTTGTATAACTTTGTAGTAATCTGGAATGAAAGCAATTGTATAGTTATCAAACAGACAGAAATTGTTTTTAAAGTTCTTCCCACGTTTCTCGTACTTTTCAATCAGTAATGTTGGCATACTAGAAATAGCCTTATTGTTCTGTTGTCTTGAAAACATTTATTGGATTGAGCTCTCACTACCCAAATGTAACTCATGTCTTTCGAGTATCTGATGCCAACAATCTGGACTTTTGGAATAATTTGAATGTCTGACATTTTTTCCTATTGAATATTTATTATGATGCCAACACAGTCTATATTATGGTAACTTCAGTGAATGTTGGTCCATCTTTGGTCATTATGTTTTCTAGACCATTTCAGGGTTTTCTCCAACTCCTAGAATTTAAGTATGACATTAATCTGGACAGTCTAAATTGCTCAGATACCAGGTATATCTTTCAGAGTGTTTTCAAGTAGAAGTTATCTATTATAGCACAAGTGGCATGATGATGTTTTGAAAGTTGTGAGATGTGGGTGTGTAAAATGATCTCAAAACACTGTAAAACAGCAATTTAATAAGAATCACAAATATGATTAATTCCTATTAAATTATTGAATTTTCTGTGTTGAACATATTGACAAATACAAATCTTTCTATTTGAATGGTTTTCTTGGTTATATGCATTAAAACTCCCTTGTTTTCAGAAAAGGACTTTTGATTTGGAGGGTTGTTTAGGTATAAAAAAATTAACCTTTGGTAAAACATTTGATTCTGTTGACTTCCTTTTCAGGTGTAACTCAGTCTTCAAGGATTTGAATATCTTTAGCATTAACTATAAAATCTACCTATTTTGCTTTGATTGATATGGAAAACACGAGATAATGGACCAAGCATTTTCTTTTTATTTAATATTTTAAGAAAAATATTAATTTGAATGACCTTTTTAGATAGTGATGACACAGTTGTAGTCATTTGCTTTGAATGTAATAAACTTGTGTTTTGGCTGCTAGTTCAGATACCTTGAATAGAATCTTCAGTGTGTCTTGGTTTTATATTTATGACAACTACAAAATTAGTTAGAGCTTATGAGATACAAATTCTTGGACAGTCTCATCTCTTAGAGATAAGACTACTGCCAGGTTCTCTACATTTATAAAAGCGGGAAGGGGGAAAATCACCAACATATTTGTTGGTTTGTTTCTCAAAGTTTCCTTAATTCTTTATTATTGATGCCATTGACTTTTGAGTTTCTTGATTTCTTAACTGTATACAGTAAATGCTTCTTTTACTTATTCTTTATTTAGCATTTCACAAGAATATGAAGAGTGATGTAATAAGCCCAATGAACAAATTAACAGAAAGTTTATATATTCTGTTTCCATTTCTTCCATTTGCTCTTACTGGAGGAGTAAAAATACGACCGAGGCATTATTTTGGAAAGCTTGTTCGCTGAAGTGGCCCAGAGGCTTTATAAGCAATTTAAACCCGTGATCTATGTAATGAGTTCACATTGATGCGGTTCATGGTGAACTACATGATCATCATTTTGCAACACCATTTCCTACTATGCTT